CCTTCTTGTATACAATGTTGGGCATTCCATCAACAATGTGATCTCTTGCTAGTTTGTTGATTGTTTTAAAATTCAGATGACTCAGCTTTTGTGCCATTCCCAGCTTAGTTTTGAATCTCCTTTGGCTATCAAGCAAATTCCTTCTTTTGCAGTGGACCAATCAACAACATAGATGTTCCCTTTTCTTTTTGCTGTTAGAACCACTTCTTTAGTTGTCTCATGCTTGACTGAGCAGCCTTCTCTTGAGAATTCAACAGTGTAGCCTTTTTCACAGAACTGGCTAGCACTTAGCAGGTTGAACTTCAGACCTTGAACATATGAGACATCATCAATGATTATCTGGTTCTTTATCAGCTTCCCTCTTCCCTTTGTTTGACCATCTTTGTCATTTCCTCCAAAAGTGACTCGAGGTCCATTTGTTTTCTGGAACTCTGTTAGGCAACTCTTGTCACCTGTCATGTGCCTGGAGCATCCACTATCAATGTACCATTCTTGCCCAGAGATGGCTCCAGCACACAGTTCCTGCATCAATAAAAGGAAGATTTAGGTACCCAAGCAATGTTGGGTCCAGGGGGGTAATGGAGTTTTGGTAGTTGGTACCATTTTGGTCTCATCAAGTGAAACCTTGGTGGATGGTACCCATTGTCCACCTGGTAGTCATAGTAAACTGAAGTGTGATTCACTTTGGGCAGATGCTTGTGAGGATCATGCTTCCTGTTTACATACTTTTGCATAGCCTTTTTGGTTGGAAAGAAGTCCCATATGATATCAAGAGCAGAGCGTCGTTTGGCTTGGGGCTTCTGAGGTTGACCAGACAACCTCTTCTGCCTGAAGTTAACTTTCTCTTGATATCTACCTTTCTGATAGTGGTTTCTGGCATAGTTATCATGAGAGTGTCTGTTGAGATTTTGTCTTTGATTATTATTTTTCTGAAAACCTTTTGGATTGTTAGGTTTTCTGCCAGGTTCATTGCTTTTCAAAATTTGTTTTTGTTGAACCTTTAACTTTTGGCTTTCTGGTCTGACTTTCTCATGAATCATTTTGACACCAGATACACTACCTTGGCAGCTGGGTCTAGAACTCTGTGTCTCTATGACTTTATCAGCCTTAGCAACTTGAATGCTAGGTCTTACAGAAGAGTCACCAGGTTCTGTTGAACCATATCCAAGACCAAAGCCAAGATTAACCTGTTGATCAAGTACTAACATTTCCATGGAAGACTGAGCCTTCTGGTAAGTGTTGTACTTAATCTCAAGTGCTTCTATTTCTCTTACTCTTTTAAGAAGATAAACATTTTCAGCTTTCAGTTTATCTCTCTCCTTAATCAAGAGATTGATTTTCATCTCAACCTCTTTCCTTAAGTCTGTGATTTCCACCTTTAGCTTACTGTTTTCTTCTTTAACCGAAGAGTAAGTGGTTTGGATGGCTTTGAACTCTTCCCAAAATTCCGACATTGAATCAGAATCAAAAGCTAAGCCTACCGAGGAAAAACTAGAGGTTGAATCAGAAGTTACCTCATCATCAGATTGACCCATAAGGCATATGTATTCGGTCTGTGTATCTAGGCAACAGAATGCCTCATCGGATTCTGATTCAGAACTGGATTCTGACTCAGAGAGGGGGTCCTTCTCTGGTTGTTCTGAGATGAGAGCTTTCCTCCTTCTGTGCTCATACTTCTTATCTCCTTCTTGGCCTTGCCTTTTGGAGACTATGGGATGAGGACAGTTGGCCTTGAAGTGACCTGGTTGTCTGCAGTTGTGGCAGAGGAGCTCTCCACTACTTTCTGATGGCTTGGTTTTCTAGAAGGGCTTTCTGCTAGAGGATGGACTTCTGCCATCCTTGGGCTTCATGAATTTCCTAAATTTCCTGGCAAAAGCAACCATATATTCGTCAGTTAAAAGAATGGAAGGGTCAAAGTTATTTACCTGTGAGGTGCTGGCTGTGAGGGCAGTAGTTGTTCTATCCTCAACTTCTTCTTTCTCTTCTTCATTCATCTCAAACTCATAAGACTTGAGATCTGAGATGAGTTTCTCAGTGCTGTAGGTCCTGAGATCTTTGCTGTCTCTCATTGCAGTGACCTTCATCTTCCAGGGTGAAGGTAGACCTCTGAGAACCTTCAAGTTGATCTCCTTGGGTGTCAGTTCCTTCCCAAGTTCTGAGATTTCTGCAGTGAGGGTGAGCAGGCGTGTATACATCTCAGCTATGCACTCTTTAGGGAGAAGTTTGAAGTCTTCAAACTTCTTCATAGCAATGGTCAGCTTGTTGTCCTTCTCCTGCTCATCACCAGCTCCTATCAGGGTAAGAGTATCCCAGATAGCCTTGGCAGAGGTGCACTTCTTGATCCTTGTGAAGTACTTGTCATCAATGGCTTTGTATAGGATGTCCTTGGCTATGTTATCAAGGTTGTACTTCCTTCTTTCTTCGTTTGACCACTCATGACGCGGCTTGGTGATCATTTGGGGTAGACCACTACCAACAGTGTACTGAGGGTTGGCCTTTGTAATCTCAGTGAAAGGACCTGCATCTAGGACTTCCCACATTTCATCATGCAGGGCACAGAGATGAGCCTTCATGCGGATCCTCCAGTCATCAAACTTGGTAACTGAAAACATCAGGTTCTTTGAAAGAGTGTTATCCATAATAAGAATTAAAGAGGCTAAGAACAAGTAGATCTTTGTTCAGGAAGTAACCTAAGAGATTACAAGAACAAAGAGGCTCTGATACCACTTGTTGGTCCCGTTTAAGTAGGGAATAGTCTAAAGGGGGGTGAATAGACTGTTCTGGTTTTTCAAACTTTTCTCAAAGTCAACACTGACTTATCAGAGAAGGTCTAGTTCGGGTGACAGAGAGGGTCAAGTTCTGATGATAGAACTGGATTTGGCAACGGATGAGAGTTCTGTCCGGGTAGCCTCAAGAAAATACTAAGGCAAATGCCTTTCTGATAACTCTTAGAACAAGATCTGCTGAACACAGAGTCCAAGTTCTTGGGAGCTATACAGTCAAAGTCTTAAGTGCAGAAAGTAAATGCGTAAAGTAAATGACACCGGGTTTTTTTTATAGTGGTTCAAGGAACAACGTGTTCCTCTAGTCCACTGTTCCACTAAGCTTGTAAGTTAACAGTTACAACGCCTTAGTCCCTAGAACTTAAGAAGCACTCCACGTCTTCTTCAAGCCTAGTTGTCACCCGAGATGCTCTTCCTGGCTTCCTGATGACTGGTCTCGTTTCACTGAGTCTCTTGAAGTATCCCCACTTCACTACTCCAGCTAGTTTGAGACGTCCATTCTTTTTCAAGAAGTGTTTGATTGAAAATCAGTTTTCTTTAACGTTTCTTCGTTACAAGAGATGTGTAGTTGAGGTTCTTGAAGTGTTGAAGAACTGGAGGAACTTTGCTTTTTGTTGGAAGAGAGGATATGCAGATGATATATTTCCAACATAGGCTTTTCTTGTTTGAGGAAGATGGAAGTTTAGATCTCAAGAAAGCTTGTAGGTTTGAATGTTGTGAGAACAAGAGTTGTAGCAAAGTTGTCCTGTTAGTTCTTCGAAGTGTATCTTATATACTGGGAGCGGTCTTCCCGTTGGAGCGTAGAAGACAGCTGCATTGAATGCGTGTACTGTGGAATTGACAGATTGGACCCACAAGTTTGGTAGCTTGCTATTTTTGTATAATATTCTCCAGGAATCTCGGTCAATCATATGCAATTACTCCACAGCGTATCAGGCTCAATAAATGAGCATTAAATGCTTTCCTTTTTATATTCAGAAAGTCTTCTAGCCGTTAGGGTATTTCCCGTTAGTTTCACGGCCGTTGGAAGTACCTTCGAGTTCCTCTAAGTAGTAGCAACTCTGATGAGATTCTCTCATAGCGTTCTGTTGGAAGTTCTGATGGCAATTCTGATGGCAGCTCTGACATCGGACCTGGTGCTTCTCTGAAGAGCAGCTCTGATCAGAGATCAAAGAGGATCTCTGGCCAGTTGACTATGCTAATACTTACAAAGGAAAATCCTATTACAAGATTTCTAAAGGGGTACTCCAATATTCTAATAGACCTAGCATCATCAAAATCTAAATTCATTTATTCCTTACAATTACCTAAGGTAATTAAATGTGATTTTCATGGATTATTAATGATTAATAATGCCTAAATGAAAATATTATTGTTTATGAATAGAAGGTGCATAACATACAAATTTATGAGTAAATGGTGTATGGTGATGCATTACAAATATGATGATATGATGATAGTATAAACCATGAATTTTTGTGATGAAATATACTTTTACTTCATGTATAGAGATCATGAATGGATAAAAGTGATATTTTTGATATTGGGATTAATCATATACGGATTGGAAAATTTATAGGAATGAACCTTATAACTATGAATTAAAGAGCTTGGTTGCTTAAAGACTAATGGATTAGTATTGAACTTACTAGTCAGAAATGTTAGTATGAAAAGTGATAGAACAAATCCTAAGGGCTTGGGTTGTGAAAGATGTACCTTAAGTGGTCTTATGAGATGTCGGTTCCTTCTAATGTTTAATAAATAACTGAAATTCAATCCAAATTTACTCTCACAAAACAAAATTTCAGATGAGGATCGATCTTGATGTCTTGAACTAAATGAATCTGGAATCTGTTTACTGATGTTGACATCCTGGCTTGACAGAGGAAATGGAACTCAGAATGTATGGTTGGACTTGCCTTCGTAGGAAGATAAAATTGAGGAAATTTAGGTGAAGGAAAAGGAGTAGGAAAAGAAATTTAGGGAGCAAGCCTTGTAGCTGTTCATCTTCTTCAAGCGTTTGTTTTATAATGAGGCTATAATAGGTATTATGAAAAAGTTTTATGTTTTTACGGATGATGTGTGTGTACTTAGCAATTAGGGGCTACACATTTTGTGTTCACATTTTGTGTACATAAAATAATTACTTTGCTAGGTGTACACATTTTGTGTACACAAAATGTATATTAAAAGTAATTTGTATACACATTTTGTTCAAAAATAGTTGGGTGCACCAAGCATTTTTTCATTCCTCTTATCTCTCTTCTCTTCTGTAGCCGTCGACCACACGAACTGAGTCATGGCCCCGCCAAAAATCATGCTCTGCGGCGACGTCTCCGGCCGTCTGACCCAGCTCTTCAAACGCGTCTCTTCGGTCTCGCTCTCGTCCTTCACAAGATCATATGTACACGCATTGATTAAGAATCTGGCAGTTCTGAGATTTTACTTAACCTGTATGTCTATTTTAGGTTAATAAAGTCGCAGGTCCGTTCGACGCACTGCTGTGTGTGGGGCAGTTCTTCCCCAACGCGGCTGAGGATTTGGAGGAGTTCAATGGATATATAGATGGCCGCTCCAAAGTTCCTCTCCCAACGTACTTCATTGGCGACTACGGGGTGGGGGCGCAAAAGATCCTCCTGGCCAGTTCTAAGGAACCGGGGAATCAAGGCTTTCAGATGGAAGGGTTGAAAGTATGCAATAACTTGTTTTGGTTGAAAGGCAGTGGAAAGTTCAATCTTCATGGTAATGCCTAATAAAATACTGTATGAGAATTATATCGTTCTCACTATAATTTATGGAAACTAATGCATTTTGTTTTAGGTTAAGAAATTATATGAATTTATAATGATTTCATATTTGAGTAAATGAAGTTTTTTGGTATCCTGCTGGCTAGTGCGCTCTCTTTGATCTGATCAGTCTTCATTGCATTTTTAAGGGAGAGCTATTAAGTGCTTCCTACGGAATGCATAGGGCCAGCTTGGTATTTTCATGGCTTTTAATTCACAACACCTGTATTCCAAAAACTCTGTTGGTAAAAGAGTGTATTGCCTTTAAACCAACAACTGTAAAACCACTTTGAAGTCACAACATCCAAGAGATACTGAAAATCTGACCACAACACCTCAGCATATTGGTCAGTGCTGGCCATTTAGGCGTTTAATACCATTCTGACTAACCTTATACTACATATTATAATAAGTTGCCATACTCAAATCTTTAACGTTATTGTAGTATAGTAAATTGCCAAATTTATATCATACCTTTATAGTTTATATTACAAATTGCCAGTTCTTCACAGCCGAGCTCAATGTTTTTTATTCACAGTTCAGCTCTTTATAACAACCAAACTGGCACATAAATGAGCTAGGCTGGTGTGTTGGTCACAGTTGTGACAAGAAACAAGTGCATCTTACGTATTGTTTAGCTCTTTAACCATACAACTAGGCTTGCTAACTTGATAGATTTTAAGGATTGTATGTAATTCTATTATTCGTATTTTCATTTTATGTTGCAGAGAAGCTCACAAGACAATAATCATGTATTCAATGTTTTTCCTTTTTGTTTGTGTGCAAACTCACTTCTATTGAATGAAATTATACGGAATCAAGTGTGCAATTTGAAGTTTGTAAGTTTTATGTCTCAAGATAGTTGACTGACTATGCATTAATCTCCAGGTCTATCTGTGGCTTACTTATCTGGTAGGAAATCTGAATCTGGTTCTCAAGTGGGCACATACAGCCAAGATGACGTTGAAGCAATAAGAGCTCTAGCTGAGGAACCAGGAGTCATGGACATATTCCTCACATATCCTTATCATTTCGTAATGATATTTCTATTCTTGCTCTCTTTTTCAGAGTTTAAGTAAGCAGTCTGCGAGGAACATTTGTTTATTTTCTTAATCAGATAATCACTAATGAATGGCCCAGAGGAGTCACAACCAGAGCTTCTGCTTCTGCTATTCCTCCAGGAATTTCAGACTCATCAGGCAGTGATTCCACAGTGTCTGAACTGGTTGCAGAGATAAAGCCTCGGTTAGTTAATTGGCATTCATTACTTATCTAAGATGGTCATAAATATTATGCCATCACGACAAATCCAGATTTGGTTATTGATTGTATCCCACATCATTCATTGTAGATGAGGATTTTAAAAAGTTAAGGTACAATGTGTAATGTTTGTGTTTCTAACTTTCAACGTCTTCCTATGACATGAATCTAGATATTAAATTGGGTCATAGTTGTCATGCTGTATGGCGATGAATTGGTTTTTTGTGGATATGGCTATTGCGCAGTTTAGCATCACCACATTACACAAAAAATGTATTAATGTGCACTATAGATAATATAAGTGAGTAAAGAGTTTACTAGCCAATTTCTAACGAAAACATACATAGGGAAGTTCAAGTAGTATAAAAATAACTTAAATATGTCATAAAAGGGCAGCCTGATGCACATTGGCTGATTGGCACCCTCGAAAGGTGAGGGTCCATGGAAGGGTCTCACTACATGGGTGTATAAGGGGCAAGCCTTCTCTTGTCATTTTGACAAGAAGCTGCTCCCAGGACTTGAACCCGCAACCTCTCGGTCACACAACAACACCGTAACAGGTGCACCAAGGCTCTGCTTCAAATAACTTAAAAACCTAATATTATTGGAGTCACAACCAGAGCATCTGCCTCTGGTATTCCTCGTGGAATTTCAGACTCATCGGGCAGCGATTCCACAGTGTCTGAACTGTTAGCAAGCAGACTGCAGAGAAAAGACACGGTTAGTTAATTGACATTCATTACTTGTCTAAGATGGTCATAAATATTATGCAGTATGACAAGTCAAGATTTGGTTATTGGTTTGATCCCACATCATTCATTCTGGATGAAGATAAAAAAAGGTCATAATGTGTAATGTTTGTGTTACTAATTTTTAACCTCATCCTAAGACATGAATCTAGATATTGAATTTGGTCGTAGGTGTATGGCAATGAACTGGCTTTTTGTGTATATGGCGATAGAGCAGTTTAGCATCACCACATTACACAAAAATGTATTAATGTGCACTATAGATAGTTTAAGTGAGTAAAACAGTTCAATAACCTATTTCTAACCAAAACATACATAGGCAAGTTCAAATAGTATAGAAATAACTTAAATACCTAAAAAAGGGCAGCTCGATGCACATTGGTGGCCCCGCAAGGTGAAGGTCCAGGGAAGGCCCCCTCACAAGGGTGTATAAGGGCCATTGCATGTCTGCCAAAATATGTGAATTTGTTGTTCAAAAAAATATTTGATGAGTAGGCTGTATAATATATCTATTGTGAGTAGGAATTAGTATTACTTGATGGTTAGGATGTAAAATATATCTATTGTTGATAGGAAGTAGAAATATTTGAGGACTTGGTTGTAAAATATATCTCTATTGTGTGCAGGAACATGAAGTAGAAATATTTGAGTACTAGGTTGTAAATAAATGTATGCCTCGTATGCAAGCAAAAAACCAAAGATACCTAGATCTGATATGCGGGTGGAAAACAAACTGATTGAAGAATGAATTTTATTGAACTCCTTGCACAGTTTGGCTACAAGTAAAAGTCGGAAGGTCGCATCCCCCTCTAGTGTTCCAATGCCGACCCTTCACAACTTTTCCTTTTCTCATGTAGTCCTGGTTTTTATTCCTTCGAACTGCTCAGACAACCTCTTAGACAATCCGACCCGATGTATCATCTTCATGCTCGTGCATATCAACGCGGCGCTTCGACTCAGCTATTCAACACTCATTTATATGCCAACAATCTGGGTCAGATTGGTGGTGCATATGGTGTAGTGATTGATAAATTGCTGATGGCGTGAGAAGACCTATTTGTCACATAAATGCGTCATCACAACCAACCTACATGTTGTGGCGCCATATTTGCACCATTGATAACTTTGCATTGGGTATAACCCACCTCAAAAAGATCCTCAAGATTTGAGGTTACATCATTCTTATATGTTAAGCTCAAATCACGTAAGCATTTGATGTGCACCTAACATCCAAATAGGCTGCACCTAACCAGGGGCACCAAAGAAACAAGAAAACCACAACTCATCTCAAAAGTGTCCTCTTTATAGGTGAGGTTTTGTCCTCTTATATATTAGACGCAACCTGGTAAACATCTTAACAATAGTATCAAGCTTCTAATAGTTATTTCCTTGGATGATATAGAAACATCCAACCAAGTAGCATTTATATTGATGGATATTATTACGGAGTAATAAATTGGAAGGTAAAAGGGTGGTGAAGGGTGACCACTTTTAATTCGTTGATAGTTTGAAAGTTTGGTCGTTTGGTATATGTAAAATTGCAAACATTAACATTTTCAATCTGTGGTCTGACCACCTAAATGGACTTGCACATAAACAAAGGGAATTAAAAGCTGAACATGACTTTAATCTTTGATGCATTCTATTTCTCATTTTCACATTCCAAATTCTCATCGTTGTTCTAACTGACTGGATTGCTGCTTAAATTTTGAAACTCACCCTATTATAATGTTTTCCGTGTGTCAGGTACCACATAGCTGGAAGTATGGGTGTATTCTTTGATCGTGAACCATATGCCAATGTTAATGCTGCACATGTAACTCGATTTCTAGGCTTAGCTTCTGTTGGAAATAAAGATAAACAGGTTATATCATTGCTTGGTGACCTTTCTTTTATCGGTTTAGAAGTGTAGTAGTGTACATGTCATTTATTTCTTTGATTTTGACATCCTTTGTACATTTTTATTTTGCGAATGGTTTATATCCTTTTTTGATAATTATTATTACAACTGGTAGTTGATAATGTTTTTCTGGAAATAAGTATAATCTGATATTCTGATTTAAGCAACACTACTAGACCATGGCACTTTTAAACCAGTTAGGGTCTAACTGTCTAAGTGGCGCTGAACATCCTCTCAAAACAAACCCAATAATAGTTTTTCTTTCTTTTTGTTAATGTCATTCTCTTTCATATGGGTTCTGATCCATTCAAAGACGAGTTTGTCTATTTGTGCAATTGTTTTGGTTGATGTTTGTGACTTTGTGCTTGTACATGCTACTCTGATTTTGAAAGAGGATCACTAACTTGATTTCTATTTTTTTTTATCTTACATGAAAGATGCTGTTGAGAACATAAAAGTAAAAATCAACGGAATAAATCCGTTGCCCAGATAATCAACGATCGAAATCGTGGCCCAGAGCCAAAAGGCTAAACTCCAATTTTATTCATAGATAAGCAAGAATGAACCCAAAGTAATTAAATCCTAATTAAGCCCATACTAACTCCACTAAATACTCTACTAGTAATGGGCCCAAACTAGAAAACATAACATAAACTTTATAATAATAAATAAAACTATAACCCTAGCCCACAACCAGCCCACAGAGGTGGGCCCAAGCCCGTTCCCACCCCTTGATCTCTTTGCTCTCTATCAATCCATCCTCCTTTGAAACAAACTTGTCCTCAAGGTTGAAATCCGGAAATTGGTTCACATTGAGATGTACTCCTCCACCGTCGCTGTCTGCTTGCCTCCGGGCAGCCGTTCAAAGCAATTGCCTGTAAATCATGAGTCAAAACGAGCCACCAATGCCTGTGTAAGCTCATCCCATGACATGCCCGGCTTTTGTGCCTGTAACCACGTCAACCAATATAGGGCTGACCCTTCCATCGCAACTACAACGGCTGCCACCTTCTTACCCCACTGTAGGTGGGAGCCTTTGCGGCACTGGGGTAATGATGATGTATTCTGCATAAAACGTGGTCATCCGCTATCTGCTATGGTGCTATACTGATATAGCGTTATTGGGGTACGTCGCTGTGCGCTGCTCTACGGGATTGAAAACGCTGCATCATATTATCATACACATTTAGTAATAATTATTGAATGCCACAAACTTACAATGGTTGGATATCTTATTTTTTCTTCTGAATAATTTATATCATGTATAATTTATATCATGTATAAATAGGTGCAGAAACTGTTGAAACATGCATAACAGTTCTGATACGGTAGACGGGTAGAGACATAACAATGTACTGCTTTCTAGAATCTGATGATTCACAATATCCATTTATTGCTTTCCAGAAATTCATTCATGCAATTTCTCCTACTCCGGCAGCTTCAATGTCTGAAGCTGAGTTAAGCACAAAACCACCAAATACTACTTTATCTCCATATGCTGACAAGGCTACCCCAACTGAGGGATTAAAAAAAAGACACAGTGATAATACTCCTGATTCACAGTATTGGAGATATGATGCTTCTCAAAAAAGACAAAAACATGGAGACGGTGATGCTGATAGGTTGTGCTTTAAGTTTGTCTTATCTGGATCTTGTCCACATGGGAAGAAATGCCACTTTAGGCATGATGAAGATGCAAAGGAACAGTACATGAGGGGTGTGTGCTTTGACTTCCTTACCAAAGGGAAATGTGATAAAGATCCAGATTGCAAGTTCAAGCACACTTTACAAGATGAATCTGATGTACCTCAATCCAGAGTGGCAATCTCCAACAGGTTGATATGCTTGAATTGTCTCTGCATTTGTATGTGTACCTACAGGGTTTGGTAGTTTTTCATGATTTCCTTTAGGGTCCATTTGGAACTAGGGATATACTAAGGAACGAACATGGGGAGGAAAATAGAGGGAAATTTAAAAATAGACTCAATAAATAAATTTTAGATATTATCTTCAAAATCATTTTTTTTTTTGGGAAAATGGAAACTAATAATCCAACCTTTTAGCAGTCTTCTTACAATAGTCCCACCTTACCGTAATTCGGGAATAATCCAACCTTTGCATTCCATCTTCATTCATTGGTCCCTGACCGGTTGATGACTTGTTATTCTCGTTTTTTTTCATTTTCTTTGCAAATCATTCAAGCATAAATCCCACATTTCACAAATCTTCTCCAAGCGATCCCACGTATCATTTTTCTTTGTTCTCCCTAAAACTTTTCCCTTTATTTTTCTACATTCTTGTTATACTAAAAATGTAGAAAAATAAAAAAACGAAAAATAATATTAAATAAAAGTAATAAAACTAAAACATTAGAAAAATGAAAACTATAAAATTTAAAACTCAAAAAATTAAATTAAAAAATAAAAAAGTAAAAAACAAGATGCAAGCATATGATGCCGCTTCAACAACCTCACAACACCAATAGCTCCGGCCACCGGAAAAATTGCCAACATGTGTTAGTAATGCCATCTTGGTGATAATTTTTCAGAAAATTTTGGCATTGTTAATGAGTAAAAATGTCATATTTTTGGCATTTGCAGAGAAAAAATTGCAGTGTGTACACAAAATAACATTTTTTTCGCCGATCGGAGTTGGCATTGTTGGGGGTGGCGAGGCTGCGGGAAAGGCCTCCAATTTTTTTTTTTTTTTTTTTTTTAACGTGTTTTATCTAGTTTTATTTAATTTTAAAGTTTTCTTTAAATTATTTTTTCACTATTTGTCTATTTATTATTTTATTATTTATAAAAAATAGTTTTAACTTTTTTTATTTATTTTGTTAGTATATCTTTATAAATTGAAATACTTTTTGTTATTTTTCTTTTTTATTATAATGTGAAATATGATTATCCTATTAAGTTATGGTAAGGATAGAAATGTAGAATAAGAAGATAGACGGTACTTTACTCCTATTTTGGGAAGATAGACGGAAACATAGTCCCATTTTGGAGCTATTTTCTCAAAAATATATTAGTGGTGGAATAAATGTAAGAAAAAGAAAATAAATAATTGTAAGTAAAAAGAAAGTAAAGTAAAAAGTTAGTACAGTGAGAAAAAGATCTTTTATAAGGAAACTAATCTGAAAAAAATTAGGGGTGGGCGCGGTTCGGTCCAATATTTGGCCGAACCCGAACCCGTACCGTGACTATTCAAACGGTTTGGTTCGGTTCGGTCTTACACCTAAATCCGTTCGGTGCAGTTTTATTTTTAAACGGGACAGTACCATACCATACCAATACCAAACAATGCCACTTTTTCCAAGTGTTTAAGAGGAAATTAAAGTTTAGCCATCCGCACAATTTATCAATTTTCGTACTTACTCCATCCAAATTGACATGCAAAGTCAATATTTTTTTGTCAACCAATGTTAAAGTTAAATTCTCTTTATGATAATTAATTCAATTTTTTAATAATTAAAATTTACATATTCAGAAACCACATTAAAATCTCTTCAAAGTTGCAAGCTCCAAATTAAATATAATTGAAAATTGACATTTTAAGTAAGTGAACAAAATGAAATTGTTTGACTAAGAAAAGTTAATTTTGCAAATCAATTTGGGACGAAGGTAGTATTCATAATTAATAAATTTCAGATAAATTATAGTAGTACAAATTTAAATAATTAAATCATACATCGGTCCGATTCCAGGTTTCCTATGAATTAGCAAAGACGGTGAAAGTATGAAGGCACTAATCAAAATAATGGCATAAATGTAAAATTAAATGATTAAACCATACTTTGGTCTAGATCGGTTCGGTACCGGTTCTCATAAAATGAGAACCGGTCATGGCATTGTTTCAAACCGGTACGGTCCGGTTTGGGACAGAAAATTTGAGATCTGTTTCAAACGCCGTTTTTCGGTTCGATACCATACTGGTTCGGTTTGGTACCATGCCGGTTCGGTATTTTTGCCCACCCCTAGAAAAAATATATAAAAATGAAAATGAAATAATAAAGGGGAAGAAGAAAAGAAGAAAAAATGAAATACATAAGCATTGAAAAAATTAAAAAATCGAAAAGAAATAAAAATAAGAATAAGAAGACCAAAAAGGGGAATAAAAGAGTCAAGACAGTAAAAATAAAAAGGGAAAAATTTTAGGGAGAAAAAAGAAAAATGATATGTGAGGCCACTTGGAGAAGATTTGTGAAAGGTGGAATTTATGGTTGAATGATTTGCAAAGAAAATGAAGAAACTTGGAATCGCAAGTCATCAACTGGTCAGGGACCAACGAATGAAGATGGGGTGCAAAGGATGAATTATTCTTGAATCCCGATAAGGTGGAACTATTGTAAGAAGACCGCTAAAAGGTTGGATTATTAGTTTCCGTTTTCCCTTTATTTTTCTATCATTTTCCCTTTAGTTTCTATCATTTTTCTATAAGATTTCACTATTTTTTGTCTTAGGAATATGATGGAGCCAAAGGCTCATTATTTTTTGGCTTAGGAATATGATGGAGCCAAAGGCTCATTATTTTTTGGCTTAGGAGTATGAAGCAACAGTGAGTCCATGCAATTCTCGACGTGATTTTCACTATGGGTCAACGTTTGCAATTGCGCAATGCAATAGCGCCTCATGGCGCGCCTTGGCTATTTCCGTAGGTAAGGCATAAAATTGCATTGCATATTGCGAGCAGGTCTGTAGCGTACGTTTATTGCGTTGAGGCGTACGCAATTTAACTTACGCAATGAGGCGTAAGTATGGCGTATGTTATTTTGTTTGATGGGTCTTGTTTTTTTGTCCGCCGGGCCCAGTTTTTAAGTAAAATAGACCGACATAGGGTACAGGGTATATTACATATACGTAGTAGTATATATGCGGCCATCTTCCCATCTATTCTCTTCGAAATCACAATTGATACGCAATAAGCAAATAACTAGTTCTTTCCTCCCCCTGCTCTCTGTTTGGTCGCTTCTTCCGCCTTCACTATTGGTGAAACCTCTTGGACAGTTCTACGGTACTGCTTCTCTCTTTGATGATTAATTTTTGTTTCAATTGAATTTATTACTAAATATTAATGTTAATTTTCTGCTTATAAATACTTCATGTTTTCCTGCGATTATATAATGATAACTTCAACTTTGTACTGCTTCTCCTTTAATGCTTTGTTTTTGAGACTTTTGGTTTCCATTGAATTTAATACTGAATAGTAATGTTAATTTTCTGCCTATTAATACCTAATGATTTCTTCCAAAAAAAACTTAATGATTTTCTTTTGGTTATGTTTTCAACTTTCGACAGACCAATACGTTCTTTCAGTCATTATATTTTCAGTTATTATATTTAATGATAACTTCAACTTTGTAGTGTTTTCTATTTGATGCTTGGTTTTTGTTTCTATTCAATTAAACACTAAATATTAATGTTATTTTTCTGCCTATTAACATTTTGTTATAATCCTTCGATTAAGTTTCAACTTATCAATATGTTTTTTGATTTTTCAGTTATTAAATTTAATGATAACTTCAACTTTGATGTAATATTAATATTAAATTTTCTGTTTAGTTTAATGTTAAATTAGTAGCGGTTAAGTCTCTGCATATTTTCTGTTTAGTATTTTGGTTTTCGTATTTGATGTTAACTCACCTTTAAATCATTGTTAATAATTAATATTAGTATTTAGTGTTGTACAGTTGTACTTAAGGTAAAAGTAAATGATAATTTTAATTTTCTATTAAATTAGTTTTCTATTAATATTCAACTATTCCAGTTTACATCACATATACACTAGATATATATTAATATTATGCTAATATATCATTTTTGTTATTTTCTTTCGCCATAGATAGTTTTTTTGGTGCGGTACAATCATGACTAAATCGAATAAAAATGACCCTGCGTGGAAACATGGTGACGAAATTGAACGAGAAGGGTTAAAGGGCAAATCTTATAAATATGTAAAATGTAGATATTGCCTAAGATTGTTACAACATTATGATTTGTTTTAATATTGCATTTGCTGGTTTCTCTTGAATAATGTTTTTGTTATATATATATATTTATAATATAAATATAATTATATATATACATATATTTACGCCTTAGCTATACGCCTCATTGCGCAATGAGGCTTACGCAATATGCAACATTGTTTGTAATTGCGCAATGCAATTGCGCCTCATGGCGCGCCTCAGCTAATTCCTGGACTAAGGCGTAAAAGGCATTGCATATGGCGCTGGGAGTGTGATGTACGCAATATTGCACTGAGGCGTACGCGATATTGGATACGCAATAAGGCGCTCTGAGGCGTACGCAATAGGAGGTCAGGGTGTAAGGGTATTATTTGGGCCCACTCGGCCCACTTTTAAATTTTTATAATTGATCTTATGATCCCTATTTCAAACCAGTAGTTATTGATTGAATTTTTCAGTCAATCAATCTAATTAATTTAAATTTTCATATCTTAGATTTTTGTTTTGATAAATGATTCAGAATGTTTTGGTATTCCATGTTACTTTGCTTGGTCTCTTATGGTTTGTTTTAATATAACATTTGATGACTTTTGATGAATATGTTTATTTTTTATTATGTTTATATATATATATATATATATATATATATATATATATATATATATATTACGCCTCAGCTATACGCCTCATTGCGCAATGAGGCTTACGCAATATGCAATATTAAAAAAACGCCACGACTACACAATTCGCAATTTCGAACCTTGTTATGCAATTCTAAAAAACCGCCATAGTTACGCAATACGCAATTTCGAACATTGCTATGGGTCATCCAGAAACAGTCTGTCTGTGCTTTAGTAGATGGGTAAGACTGCATACATCCGACCCCCTTACCCCACCGAAGGTGGGAGCCTTTGCGGCACTGGGGTAATGATGATGATGAATGATGATGATCTTCAGCATCATTTATTTATGTATTTGTGTTAAAGACAATGGTGGAAACAAATGGTGGATACACCTTTTTCCTTGGTACTTGTTATCCTTCCCTTCCCATTTCCCATACAACAAACATAGCCTTAAAATATTCTTCATGTTGATTTACTTTTTTTGCAGATCAAGAGAATGTTGGTTTTGCATGTCAAGCCCTAATGTGGAATCACATCTGATTGTTAGTATTGGAGATTACTACTACTGCGCCCTTGCTAAAGGACCTCTAGTACCAGATCATGTGTTGATTCTGCCTATTGAGCATGAACCTAACACCCTGTCTCTACCATCTGAATGTGAAGTGGAACTTGAGAGGTTTCAGAACAGTCTCAGGGCTTACTTCAGAAAGAAAGGAAATGAAGCAGTTTTCTTTGAGTGGGTTTTTAAACGAGGAACTCATGCCAATCTCCAGGTACAAACAACTGCCGCAACTAAGTACATTTTAGCTACTAAATTGCTTTATCAGTTTTCTAGTGGTCGTGGTATGATCCTGTGTTATAACTGAAACAATAAGTAGTTTATGATCATATTATATTCGGGCGTCATTCATGACACATGTTACACACAAGTATAATGGGCTTGGCCCACTCTCACTACCGGCAATCAAAGCAATTAATTAAATCAATTAATAGACTACAGAGTGTTTTAATTCATATTTATATATTTAACAGATGGAATGGAGCCAGTTTAGTTATCCATGATGGTCCATTGAAAAGTCATCAAAACAATTAATTCAATCTAGATCCATTCCACAAAACCCATCTAGTCCATCAATTAACATTTTTTAAAAAATGGATATCAATTTCATCCATTTTCATATTACTTTTAATGTGTAGAGATCAGTACTAATTGAACTTCTGTTCTGAACGTGCATTGTATAGGTTAATCCTAATTGAAACTTTCTTTAATACAACAACATCCAAGCCTTAGTCCCAAAAGATATTGGGGTCGGCTAACATGAATCGATACATGATATCACCACCAAAAGGAAAAGAAAGAAAATAAAGACAAAAAAGATAAGCTATTATGAAAAAGATAATATAAAAAGAGATGAATAAACCTAAAAATGATAAAATAAAAAGGATAAAAAAATGTTTGTATATATAAGGACGAAACTTTCTTTAATAAAAGGGAAAATAATTTAAATATTCCAAACTTTAATGGGGTCTGAGATAAGTACCCTAAACTTGCATATGTAATATATACCCCGAACTTTACATAAAAAGTTATTATCACACCATGATTGTTTGTTTTTCTACAAATATAAATATATTGGAATAATTACATGATTTAAATACTCTAATCTTTGTTAGAATGCAATTAACATTCTAAAATTTCATTTATGAAATAAATAATATTACATCCGGTACAATTTAATATTAATTGTATCCTTATAAATGTTCTGTGCATTTTAAATTATATATTCAACACCATAAAATTACATTTGTGAACAAATACATTGATCATGGTCCTAACATAACTTTTTATATAATGTTTGGGGTATATATATTACATGTTCAAGTTTGGGATATTTATCTCACACCCCTTCAAAGTTTGGGATATTTAAATTATTTTTCCCTTAATAAAATGGCAACTACAAGTGAGATTGGATGCATCTATCACTCAACAATTTTGGGAGGATCTTGAGGAGGTGGTGCGATGAGTGCTAAGGGGAGAGAAGCTGGTCACATGAGGCGACCTCAACAGGCATGTGGGCCCGAGTCGTGATGGTTTTGAGAGTATCCATGGCGAACATGGTTTTGGCACTAGAAATGAAGCGGGGAAGAACATTTTAGATTTTGCCTCGACATATGGTTTTGGCACTAGTGAGGTTTTTCTGGACTTCGACTTTTAACTTTAGTGTGGGTATGTTATTCGTATTTTTTTAGTAATTACTCCAGTTGGGTGCTTGGGTGTAAAATCATCCAACTTTGTATATTAACTTTGTACTCCGTGTTTAATACTCGTATTTCTAAAAAAAAACTTAGTATTTAATATTTTGTTGAATGCTTTGAATTTAATGTTGTGATGGACTGCATAATGTTTTACAGGAAGTCAAAAGGTTTTTGAAAAGTTAGTATTGTACTATTTACTATTTTAAGAAAAGTTTCAATTTTATGAAAACAATTTTATGGATAATGACATAATGTTTGTGATTGTTTTGATGAACTATAGGCTTGTGGTTATGGTCTTATGAATTATGTTATTTCTATGATTACATATTTTATTACTTCATTAGTAGTGTTTGCTATAAGTGTTGCATGTAGGGCCTAGGCTTTTTAGTATGTAAAAATATTATGAATTTATTAGTGTATATGTCGACTTATCGCCGCGACTTTGCCACGACGGGCGTCATATCGCCATGGCGATATGGCAGTCCAAAGGCGCCGCGCCAGAAAACCCTGCCGTATCAACTATGCATTCACAAGACCAGAAGTCGTGCGAGCGGCCAGAACGACAGCATCACTTTCCTTCTTCTCTTCTGTAATCGCCGTGTTCACAGTGAAACGGAGGGCGATTTCAGGAATTCTTTCCGACGGAGTTTATCTTCAAAGCGGACAAGTAGAGTGTGAAGTTCTACGAAGTCAATCTCTTTGATCGTACTGATAGAATCAGAAATTGATTCAAACTCTGGACGAAGACCCTCCAAGGCTTGATTGGTGAAGTCTTCGTCGTCCACCGGTCGTCCGACCAAGGCGAGTTCATCTGCCAGAGTCCGATGGTGGTGAAGATATTCTCCTACAGACTGAGACCCTTGCTGAGCATGGCGGAATTGGTCTTTTAGGCTCCGAACTTTGGTGGCTGACCGGGTCCCATAGAGACGCTCCAGCGTTTTCCAGACAGAGGCGGAGGTTCGTGCAGAACCAATTAAGGGCTTGCAAGCTGGACTGAGGGAAGATACGAGGGCATGTCGGAGCAGACGATCTTGTCTGTTCCATCGGAGATGGTGAGCTGCGTCACTTTCTGGAGGAGGAGACACCTTTTCATCAATGTAGCAGTCCAGTTGAGAACCAAATAGGAGGTCCATCACCTGGTCTCTCCAAACCAGGTAGTTTGACCTATCTAATTTTTCTGGAAACTGACTAGGGTTAAGCATAATAAGTCCTTCGGGTGTTAGGGTGTTGTTTGTTGCGGCAGGAGGAGGATTGGTAGGAGGGGGATTGGTATGATTTTCGAGGTCTCCATGTCCCTGGAGATCCTCTGTTTGTCTGGCTTCCTGCCCAGACATGACTGGCCGGTGAGAGCTCTTATGGCTCTGATACCATAAAGAGATTTAGAAGGGATAGAATGTTTAGGCTGAATTCCATACTTTATTCCATAATATGTTGTGGTATATATACATAGATGTAGAGAGTTTATAAGGTAAGCTACTAAATACAATATTAACTATAAAGATTTGTAACTGAAAACAATAAATAATTGTAACTGAAACCTGATAAGTTGGAGACATACCTTTGGGTTGTCAGAAAGATTTTTGAGTATTAGTACACTCATGTTTCACCTTGTGTCTTGGTTATTGGCAAAAATGTAAACTTTTTTCAAGGATCATCACAGGAGATAATGAGCGTATGCACAGCTGAAAAGAGCAAAGCTGTACATATTAGGCTAATGTAGGAACAGTGTGTGCACGGAAGACAAAATGCTCAAGGAGGAGGCTCTGATACTATGTTGAAAAGAGGATCTGTTATTATCAATACATCATTTGATAATATATAGACATGAATAAATGTCTAGGAATAAATGTAAAAGTATGCTCAATTCTAGGCGTGAGAATATATAGAGATGATAATGATGAATATACCATGGAAAGGGAAGAGTGTTCAGATATTCTCAACATTATTGTACATATTCAAGGTGTCACTTTTAATCAAGTTATCAATTTATAATTGTGTCATATTTTAAATGTGATCTTGAGTCTCGACCTTAGATACCAAGTGGTAATGGTGCTGGCACCATATGCTCATTTGTTTGTGTATTTGAAGGTGAATATTGTGTTTCTTTTACATGAGTCTAATTGCTTTAATATCTTACTACCTCCATCCCGTTTAAACTTTAAAGGTTTCCATGGCAAAATGGCACAATTATTTAGACAATAATTAAATATGCTAATTCGAATATATTTTGAGAAATAATTTTGATGAGTATATAATGTAATGAGTTATTGATGATAACTGTAATGTTATAAATGTGTTATTTTTAATATTTGATGATTAAATTGTTATTTAAGAGTGTTAATTGTTTCCTAAAATAGAAAGTGAGAACCTTTAAGTGAGACGTCCAAAAAAAGAAAGTGGGAACCTTAACCTTTAAATGGGACGGAGGGAGTAATATATATATAGTATGTGAGTTGAGAATCCTACACAAATAGGATGTCACTGTTACCATGTATTCATCCGTTCACTGTTACATCTGAAGGATCTGATAAGAGATTATAGGATTCACACCTCATTATCTCTTGAAATCTTCAAAAAATGCAGCCCTGAGTTGAATGCAATAAGCATTGCTTCTTACTGTCATATTAAAGCTTGTTTTCCTGCCTGGTTTAATTACACATCCTGTCTCGGCCTGCAGGTAATTCCTGTCCCATCAGCCAGGGTGGGAGCGGTGCAAAACATTTTCTATTTGGCTGCTAAAAGATTGGGGATTGATTTTACAATCACCAAAGGATTCAAAGGTAAGCATATTCTGTTATGTGTCCCATCACTGTATTTCTCAAGATTAATCTACTCATTTCACTTATCTCATGGAACTTTGTATCTCATTTCAGAAAGTCTTATTGTCTCTAAAATTATTCTATTTTTACTTGTATGCAGTCTCTTAGAGATTTATTATCATCAGCTCTTTGCTTCCAACTACAATGGGTCGGTGAAATAAAATTTATACTGTCAAATTAACTGTTTAAATGTAGTTTTAACATTATAAGCAAAAACCAATGTGGAAAAATGACAGTGGCTATTTTTATGCCTCACGCCATACATTGATAATTTGATACCACTTTTATTTAATTTTGGCGTTCATTGGAGATGTCTATGTCATGAATTATGTTGCAAGTATAATATAATTGACCACTTCGCCTGTATTTCTGGTTGCTATCGCAGGGCGGAAACTATTGCGGACAGAGTTTGATAAATCTTCCAGCCTTTTTTATGTGGAAGTTCCTGGAGATATAATTTTATCACATGTTGTTGAGGAGAATGAAAAATTCCCTGCTCAGTTTGGGCGTGAGGTAAGATGCTAACTAAGATCCAACTACAAATGCGGTTTGTTTGGTACAGCCTTAATTTTGTAATTCTTGTTTTGACAACACTTGTGATAAAAAGCAAGGTTGTTAAGATCGCTGTCAACTCGTCGGATCTTACAAGTAAGGTGTGTTTGGGTGATCTGTATCGTACTAATGATCGGAAACTATGGCTTCATCATGGGATCGACGAGCTGGAGAGTACCGGAGTGGCGTGCCGCGTCGATTTGCGTGCGAGAGAGAAATCACAGGTTCAGGTCGGGTTCTCTTTAGCGAATGACGGAATAAAGCTTCGGACAGCGGTACTCCAAAAGTTGCGAAGGAACTTCAAAGGCGCGAACGTCCTAGTTAGTATAAAAGTGTAGCGGAACTTATGAAGTGTCCTTGTTAGTTTATAGGTCTGTCTTTTGCAGCAGTAGTTCACCTCCTGAATTATTTCCCATAAGGGTATGCTCTTCATCTGGAACTCTGGCCCATATTTCTTTTCCTAGACGATTTTTTATTGGGAAAATAATGATTAGCCCCTTAAGGTTTAGTCATAATTATAAAATCAACCTTATATTTTTAGAACTGGATTATTAAACCCCTGAGCTTTTATTATAGATGGAATCTCCCCCTTCCGTTAACTTTAAGTTAATTTGATGGTTAATTGTTAGAGGAATTTCCCAAAATGACCTCTATTAAAATAAACTACGGAGTATAAAACAAAAGCTTCCCAGGTTTATTCCAAATAGTATTCGAACAATTAATTGAGGGTTTCGTTTCCCATCCATCACTGCTGCATGCTTAGTTTCTATGCTTTTCTCCTTTTTGCTTTTTTATGCTCCAACTTCCCAGACTTATTCATACATTAAAAGAAAATTGAAGAATCTTAGTTGACAAGATGCATATTTGTTGAGGCGTGCAATCGTCTGGCAGTGGATTTTGGCATGCATTCAACCCCACTTAGTCTAGCTGACGAAAATAAACTTCAAAACTACATCAATATTATTTATCTTAGTTGGGCTAGTGGAGACATCATTGATTTGAGACTGGAAAGCTAATTTTCAATTCAGGGAAGTTGATTTTCAAACCATTGTTCTCAAGGTTGTCAAAAGCGCTCGCCTCAGCGCTTAAGCGCACAAGGCGCAGCGAGCATACCCCCCAGCGCTTGGAAATAGGTGAAGCGCGCGTACCTGGGTAAAGCGCAGCATAGGCGCATGAAGCGCACCAAGCGCTGAAGCGCTGCAAGTCGCGCGCCTTGGTCGCCTGAGCTGGAAAAGGGCTGACGGCCTTTTTTTTGTTTGAAACTTTCAAATACAATTAGCCCATATCTTTAATAATACTAAGCCCATGAAAACATTTGGGTAAAAACAGTAAAACCTACGTAAAACTGAAAGTCTATGTAAGTAAACGCGTAAAACTTGCGCAAGACACTACTGGTATCATCGCTAGCCATCCTCACTCGACACTGAAGCTGCTCTACACCAGCCCTTTAAGCTTTCATCATCATCTCAAGCAAACTCAGCTCTCCCTCTCAGCACTAAACAAGGTATGTTTTCTTTTTCATGCAGTCCTCTTCATCCAAATACTCATATTACGCTAGTGTCTAAATATTAGCGTAAATGGGTAATAAAGTAATAATACTACATATTAGTATATTAGTATGTATATAATACTCATATGTACTCTGCTTTGTGGTTTTATAAAGATATTACTCTGTAATCTTTCAGAGTATATTAAGTTCTTAACTTTAAATACATTACTCAGTTCTGTCACTCTTGTGTTTTATAAAGATTAAAGATATTACTCTATTTGACCCAACTAGAGTAAAACATGGCTGTTCAAAGTTTATAACCACCTTTTACAACACACAAGATGACAAACACAGATGGAAAACAGGTTTATGTTTTTCCATTATTGGGCAGCAATATTTGAGTGTTTGGCCAATAAATATATTATATATGTACTCTACTTTGTGGTTTTCCAAAGATGTTTTCCAGTGTATTAATTATTAAATAATTCCAGCCTTGTGCTTTTCCAGGATATTGAAGGTGGAACAAGTGCTACAGGTGGTGCTGAAAGTGAAAACTCTACAAAAAAGACCCAACTTGGAAACCCAACTACTTGGCTAACAAAAAAGATCCTAATTTTTGTGAATCATGACTTTATTTTGATGCATCCTAGCTTGTTATGCATTTGGTTCAATGTGATGTTACATACATCATATTTGGTGATTATAGAATAGTATATGTGATTTTATCTAAGTAGTGCGCTTCACCCGAGTCAGGCGAGCGCTTTTTTGCGCCTTGCGCCTCAGGCGCTGGGAATACCCCATCGCCTTGAGTGCGCCTCACGACTTTGACTACCATGATTGTTCTGTTGTGGGGCTTACAACCTACTCTTAAACCAAGTGAGTTGCGAAGAGTTGAAGCGACAAATATATACGAAGTATGTAGTATTAGAAAAAGTACGTAGATGAGTGTATTGAACAAGTAATCCCTAATTAAGGGCAATGTTCTAAAAGGCGCTACGCGCCAGTCGGACACCAACCTAGCGCCTAGTGCCTAGGCGGGGCGCCTAGGTGGGGACTAGTCGGAGACGCATAAATTGTATTTTTATGAATATTTTTGCATAAATATAAGTAATACTCCCTCCGTCCCGCTAAGATTGTCCCATTTTACCTTTTCGGGAAATCCCGCTAAGATTGTCCCATACCAAATTTGTCAAAGTTTGTGTGACTCTAAATCATTCTTACTTTATTCTTACTTTATCAATTTAATATCAACCACACAAACCCACTTTTCTTAATAATCGTGCCACCTTCTTTTGTCCCAATCTTAGTGGGACGGAGGTAGTACATAGTAAAACTGTAGTATCGTGTTTGTGTGTATGAAAAATATATACACACACATTAACATGCATGAATGATAGAATTGTAACACGCAATAATATATGATGCAAGGAAATTTTTTTACTGGGGGGTAAACTTTACTGTTTTGACACTGTTTGGCACTATTTTGATGTAGTTAATTTGTCAAATAAGGAAAGGGGAACTTAATTCAGGGACTGCCCAAAAAGGAAATGAGAACTTAATTGGGGGGCGGAGGGATTATTAAATAATAATAATCAAGTATATATACAAACATATGTAGTTTTTATTGTAATTTACAAAATGCTGAATAAAAAATTGTTCAGTGAATCTAGGCACCCTAGGTGGCGATTAGGCTCTCTGGGCGGGAAACTAGGCTCCCTAGATGACCGACTAATTCACCTAGGCGCCAAACCAATTAGTCGGAGCGCCTAGGCAAAAATCGGGGCGCCCAGTCACCGCCTAGTGCCTAGGGCGATTTTTAGAACAGTGATTAAGGGTATATTGGTCAAAACAGTGTCTATTTAACGCCGTTTGTTATTGAGTCATTTATTTTCTTAGTAGGGTTTTGATGGAAGGGGAAACAATAAATAGAATCAAAATTCAAGGGGTATATAATATAATTGGAATCTAAAATTACAAGGTTCTACAAGTAATTATGATCAAACCAGAAGGGGTTAATAATAAATTTCCCTTTTTTATTTATTTTTCACTATCCCCTGATCCCCTCTGATGTCAGGTTTTCATATTCACAACTGAGACACATCTTCTAATCTTTTAATATCCATAATAAGTCTTACTCCCTCCGTCCCAATTTGTTTTGCAAAATAATAGCATAATATTCTATAAGATTCTATACATTAATAATATCCTAGAGTATATTCCTAAAATATTCTAAAATATATTCCACGCCAAGAAACCGCCTCAAACACGCAATATGCCATTTCAAACCTCAGATCTACATCCTCCATTTGTTTTAGCATGCTACTAATGCCCAGACATAATAACGGAATTCCATGTATCAATACTTTGATCCTAGTACTTGATTCAGGACATGCTCTCTTTACCATGAAAACATGAAAAATGTGATGTGATCAGAATTTTTAAAATTCGGTCTGATTTTGCACTTTGGTTTTCTGCTTCCTAAATGTTTTGTTCGTCTTGTACTATGTTTCTGATCTTTAAGCCGGTTTTCTAGCGCAAACTGTTTTGTATTTTTCTATTTCTGTTTTTCAGTTTTCTGTTTCTATTTACCGGTGTTCTATTGCTGCTTTCCAAATTTCTGGTTTCACTTTTTTAAGGGGTGTTTGGAACTGATTCTGCTTCTGTTTTTTTTAAGAAGAAGCAGAATCAGAATCAGTTTTCAGAAGTTGGTCACCCCCAGCTTCTACAAAAACTGATTCCGGGAGTAAATTAGAGCACCGGAATCACTTTTGCATTTTCATCCAAACACTCCAGCTTCTGTTTCTTCTCCCTGAAGGAGCAGAAGTAGTTATAAGAATCAGATCCAAACACCCCCTTACTTCTGTTTACCTATTTTCTATTTAAGTTCTAGTTTTTTACTTTCATTTTCTATTTCATGTTTTCTTATTTACTGATAAGATCCTCCAATTATCCAGAACAATTAACAGGAATTTAACAAGAAATCAACTGAAATTCTTTATTGAAGAAGATGAACAGTACAGTAACCTAGGCCGAAGCCTCCCAAAAGAGAAGAGAAAACAATCCTCTAATCTTTCCCAGTCCCAGACTAAAAGTCCCAAAAGCCTCCTTATGCCTTCCTCCCCTTTTCTATTTATTGTATAAGCCCTCTTAGTATTCTTTATAATAATAGGCCCAAACTACCAGGCCCACTAAACAGTATCTATTCTTCTAGTATTCATATTAGAAATATTATCTATTATTAATCTAAAAGGTAGATCCCTATCATCTAATTTTTGGAAAAGCCGATGTATATGAGAACCATTTTATGTTTTCTAAATTTGAAAGCTTGTAAAATGAAATTGATTTTGGTTCTCTTTTCTAAATTTGGAAAACAGCATTAGTAAACATTATTTTTTATTTTCAGTTTTTCAGAAATTCAGAAAACTCTGTTAGTAAATGAAGCCTAATTTTCTTGTCTGAAATATAACATTTGGCTATCTTTTTGGTCTGGTATATGCAAACTATTTAATATTGTTTGTTTGATATACTTGATTAAAATACTAATTAGGAGATTAGAAAAAATAAAGAATACCACCCTAAGGACGCTGTTAAAAACCTAACCATTTAATATGAAAAAGGTCATAGTTTGTGTTAGAAACGCATATTACCGTAGAGAATTGTGTTCCATTAACAATACCTAGAAAGCGAGTTAGTGTGCTAGATCTCGTGTAATCTGAATTAGTTCGATTTTAAAACTCTTCTGAATGTGTAGGTGTTGGCTGGCTTATTGAATATGGCTGATAGGGCTGACTGGAGGAATTGTACAATTTGCAAACAGGAAGAGATTAGAATGGTTGAATCTTTCAAGAGTAGATTTCTAGAATATGATCCCAATCATTGATTTGAAAGACAAGGTATTGAACTACCACAATGTTTTCTCAATTCTATTTAACAATTGTGCTTTTTCTTTATATGTGCAGTGTTGTATATACAAAACCATTAGGCATTAAAGTGCAACCTCTGGAAAGCGTGTTTAAATGGAACCATAACAATTTGAACAACTTTTTGAGGCTTTTTAACTGAGGGGGTGTTTGGATCTGATTTTAAAACCGCTTATGCTCCTTGAATCACTTAGAGTGTTTGAGTGAAAGTGCAGAAGTGATTCTGGTACTTTAATTTACTCCTTGAATCAGTTTTTTTAGATGTTGGGGGGACCAACTTCTGAAAACTGATTCTGATTCTACTTCTGCTTTAAAAAAGAAGCAGAAGCAGAATCAGTTCCAAACACCCCCTGAATGTGACCTGATGGTCCTCTTAGTTATGAAATACTACATATGTTATATATTTCGTGGTAACTATGCAATTCCAGTTGAAAGAGACCAACCACATGAAAATGTATCTTTTTACACATTTCATGGTGAAAGCATTGGTCCTAGGAGCATTTGCGGAAGATCTAAATCACGACCACTTGTATACTTTTGTCCATAATGATTTTAATATACTTCCTCCGTCCTCTAAAACTTGACCAAGTTTGACCAGTACGAGGATTAATAAAGTAAAAACTGTGTGGTTGAGGTTTGTGCAGAGGAGAAAATTAACAGGGAGAAACTGTTATGTGTATTCTTCCTGTTTTTATTGATTGGCTTGAACTCTGGAACAATATGTTCTCTGTGCATCTTCACCCGAGTTCAACTCTTCCTGAAAGACCACTTGAGGTTTACCCCATTGTTTACTTCAGGGTCGGCAGGATTATTCATGCCAAAGGTGCTTGTAAAAAGAAAACGGAACAATTACATGTGCATACCTCTTCTTCAACTCAGACAAATGTGACCAGGCTGCAATTTGTTACCACAGAATGTAACAGGTTACATGAGTTGGTTTACCATTGAGATACACATAACAGTTAAGAGTACGAAGGTGATAGACATAAAGTAATTATGGTAGCTTTAGGCATTTTCTAGTATAGGAACAACAGGAACGCTGATTTTGTAATTAGAAAGAGGACTAATAATCCCCCTTGTTAACTTCACCACCTTGCATTCATCAGAATTCAGAAGCGCTCTGATTACCTCAGGAATATTCAGATCACCTTAAGAATCCAACTAACTGAACTAAGCAAGATGGCCTTCGGCCTTGTTTGGTTGATCCAGTGATGAACTCAGTCTGAAGTTAGAACACACAGGTGATAGACATAAAGTAATTATGGTAGCTTTAGGCATTTTCCAAAATAGGAACAACATGAACGCTCATTTTGTAATTAGAAAGAGGACTAATAATCCCTTTGTTAACTTCACTACCTTGCATTCATCAGAACTCAGAAGCGCTCTGCTCACCTCAGGAATATTCAGATCACCTTAAGAATCCAACTAAGCAAGATGGCCTTCCGCCTTGTTTGGTTGATCCATTGATGAACTCAGTCTGAAGTTAGAACAGAAAGGCACTCTGTTGAACCCAGTGATGAAACAGCATTTCCGGTGTATCACTATCATAGAATTGTTCATGGTTTAATGATCTTGTCTTCATTCACTTCCTGATTTTATGTCATTCCTATTGGACATATGAGTCAGTAGAATATGTATCTGTATACTGGAAGTATGAAAACCCATATAGCAGGCAAGCACAATGGTTGGTTACTCAATAGGTCTTGCATTCGACCGACAGGGTCACTGATCTTAATGTGCTACGGGTGTGAATCAAATATGAGTTACGGCTAGTGTGATATGTTTAACTCTGATAGGTTTTTATCACTGCAAGTGATGAGAGTTTATGGTAAAATGGTGTCTTGAACAACCTTTGTTTGGCATAGTTGTGGGCTTGTGGCCCTTGTGGATAGATTGGATCTTTCTAATTCTTTTATGTTTTCATAGTTTTTTGTTCTGGATTGTGTTGTTTAGCCTGCTGGTCCTTATTTTCTAACATGTATCTCCTACCTCACACATGGTTTTCAGATCATCCATTGCAATTTCACCTTCACGCGTTGGATAATCCTCCCACCCAACTTGATATGGACAAAATCCTGAAAATTTTAGGACTAAAAAGGCGATGGATAGATATTAGATAGGGGATAAGGGTCAGTTTGGTCCTCAAAGTTGCAAAAAAGGCATCAAATAAGCCTTTATATAGAAGATTTTGTCCGGACGTGCCATTTGAGGTGGCTCCCGGTGGAATTTTTTGATGAAATTTTTTGAGCATCTTATTCATTAAGTCTAGTTTACTCATACCAAATTTCAGATAAAAATTCAATGGGGAAGACATTCAAATGAATTCTTGAAGATAACTGTGCCGTTAAAAGCGCTGTTATCTTCAAGAATTGTTAACCGACTTATTTCTTAATAAATTGGCCACTATTGATTTTTCTGTAGTTTCTATATACTTGTATACATACTTTTGTGTAGGACTGAAGGCACTTCACTCTCGTGCATCGCACGGTGGGGCTATCTATTGGAACGGACCAAAAAGGAGATGTGAAAATCATAACAAATCTAGAGGCGTTATTATCTATTTTTTAGAGAGAGTAATTATCTTTGTGTAATGTGCATGTCCTTTAATTAGAAGTTTGTAATCAAGAATTATGCTCAAACTTTAGATTTTTATTATAAATCTTTTTAAGACTAACCATTGATTTAATCGTTGGAGTTTTATTTTCTAATTCGGACTCTATACATATTGAAGATTAAGAATACATAATTTAGAGATATACAATAAATAGAAAGTGTAACTACCTTAGAAATATGATACACATGGGGTTACTTAATATACTAAATGATTTCTTTAAAAAAAAATATACTAAATGATTTATTTATTTAAATCGTGGTGCTACAGACTCATAGGGTTTGACTGAGAAAGTTAGTCGATGTATGTTTACCAGCGACATGAGCATGATATGCAAATCATGTCAGAGACATTTCAACATCTTATTTAATTTTTTAGATTTTGCAATATGACAATACTTTAACCTCTTTCTCTATTACTCCCTCCGTCCCGAAAACAACTTCCCACTTTCCTTAAATGGATGTCCCAAAGAGTAAATGACAGAACAGAGTATCTTTTTTGCAAGTGTTTCCAAAAGGTGTAGGTTTGACCGAATTATTGATTGAAGTGGTGGAACATATTTGGCAAATATGTTCACTATTTGCAAAAAGAAAAGAATATGTAGTTGGACATATTTGGTGAATATGTCCATCTTTCTATTGGTCAAGAGGAGTTGGCGCGGATCGTCATCTTGGATCGTCAGCTGAAGGGCTTGGACCGCATTAAATTAAGATATTCCCAACATATTTGCCAAATATGTCAGTCTTCCTATTGGTCAAAAATATTGGGTGCGGATCGTCATCTCGGATCGTCAGCTGAAGGTTTTGGATTGCTTCGATCTACTTGAGCAGATTTACGAATCTGTTGTAATAAATTAATATATTTCTCAACATATTTGGTGAATATGTCCGTGCTCCTATTGGTCAGAATACGTTCACTGACTTCTTTTTTTTTTAAATTTAAATCGATTCAACATATTCACCAAATATGTTCTCTGATTTTGATCTTTTGTACTACTCTGTCCCATTTTATGTGTCTTAGTTTGACTTGGCACGATTATTAATGAAGTGGTTGAAAAAGTAAAAGTTGTGGTTGAAGTTTGAGTATAATAAAGTGAAATGGTGTAGACCACATATTTCTTTCCAAAAAAGGAAAGAAGACACTTATTTTGGGACAATCCAAAAAGGAAAGTAGGACAGGTAAAATGGGACGGAGGGAGTAATAGAAAACCAGAGAAATCTATTCAACATATTCACCAAATATGTTCAGTCTTTGGAATGGTCTGCAGACCAGAATCTACACCATTTGGAATGGTCTGCAAAGATGCTACCCTGTTTCGTCAATCACCCTGTCCCAAAATTAACTTCACACTTCAATACTTTCCTTATTTGGCAAATTATCTACATCAAAAAGTGATAAACAGTGCCAAACAGTGTTTAAACAGTGCCAAACAGCGTTTAAACAGTGTCAAACAGTGTTTAAACAGTGCAAAACAGTGCATTCTAAAGTAAAGTCAAATTTATTTCCTAAAAGTGTGTGAAAGTCCGACCGGGAAGTTGTTTTCGGGACGGAAGGAGTAATATTTTACAGGGATAAGACTCAAATTGGACACTATGGTTTCATCAGAATCTCATATTGGACACTAAGGTTTCAAATGGACCAAATTAGACACTATGGTTTCATAAGTATCTCATATTGGACACTAAAGTTTCATAATTAGGGTTGGATTCGGGTCGGGCCACCCGGCCCGCTACTGTGCGGGACCGGGACCGGCCCGGTTCTTGGGTCCGGGTCGGGCCTAGGCCCGGGGGGAGGGCGGGTCCGGGCTCGGGTTGTGGTTTTGGCGAACCGGCCCGGCCGGTTCGGGCCGGGTACCGGGCCTATTTTAATTTTTTTTTTCAATTTTTTTAACTTTTCGGGTTACGCTGGGTATTTTGGGCCATTTGGGGTGGTTTGGGGGTGAGGGGGGGTTGGGGGTTAACTAGGAAAAGGGAAAAAAATAGCAATTACCCGAGGCCCGGCCCGGCCCGGACCCGGGGATTATCCGGGCCGGTCCCGGGCCGGCGGGCCCCCCATTCCGGAACCACCGGCCCGGCTCCACCCCTGTTCAGAATTCAATATAAGTGAGTTTCCAATTTGATCTTTATCCAATATAAGTGAGGGTCCAAAAACTATGAATTATGAAACTTTAGTGTCCAATATGAGATATATATATGAAACCATAGTGTCTAATTTGGTCCATTTGAAACCTTAGTGTTCAATATGAGATTCTGATGAAACCATAGTGTCCAATTTGAGCCTTATCCCATATTTTATATTGCTTGATATTTGTTATGGTCTTTTTCTGTCTATGTATCACAATTTTTATTTTTCCAACCATTTGCATGTTCTTTTCTTAGGTCATGCAACTATGCAAGTGAAACATAGATGCAGAAAAAGCAATAACAATTGAGGAGTTTCAGAATTTCAAACAATAACAATTTTGGTTTTCCTTCGCAGTTTTATGATTACATATGCAGGTCTTTTTATGTTTTACATTTCATTCTTACCATTGACGTAGTATTTCTTTATTTGGTATTACAAATTTACAATGATATCATATGATGGATTTTATTAATGATTTTAGTCCTGGTCCGATCCCAGGTACCCGGCCAGTTCGGGATCCGGTCTCTGGCCAATTCAGGCTCTGTTTTTTTTAAATGAATAACAAATGCTACACATTAAAAAATGAAATGTAGATTTATTTCAAACACTAAATTGACTTAGAGTATTACAAATTTATAAATTACAATTGATAATAGTTTAAACTTTAAATACATGAACAAATCATTGGAACTGCTTTCGGCATCGGTTGTCGTTTCCTCCATGAAGTGACAGTCCGGTGTTATGTTAACTTCTTGTGTTCTATGGTGGGCCTTCAACCAATCGTGCAAGAAAACGAGCATCTTAAGAGATTGCACACTCAACCTCGTTCTATAATCAATAAGTATGTTGCCGGCTTCGCTAAACTCTTGTTCCACAACAACCGTTGAAACCTATATTGACAGCATTTGTTTTGCAATTTTGGAAAAAATGGGGAACATCCCTTCGTGGCTCTTCCACCATTGGACAATGTTAAACTCTTCCCTTTCATCATGCTCAACATGAAACATCTAATATAAAGAAAGCCCTTAAATCGAGTTTTGTGCAACGACATGAGTACATTTACTTTTCTCTCTCTCAAAAGATTAGATATTGTAGATTTAAAGATTGTTTTCCTTTAGATGAAGAAGTAGTTGGTTTCGGGGAGGAGGCACGTTAGCATATTCTGCATGAAACTCTTTAAATAAATTATGAAATAGATTACTAACCTTGTTGAATTGAGTTTGAGGATCTATAGGGGTGTCGTCGTATATAGGGAAGTCACCCTAGATAGCAGTATAATAGTCCTCTAAAAATGTTTGATAAGTAGCAAATTTGAAACAAGGATCAAGACATAAAGCAATAGCATATATAGGCGAAATGTAAGCATAATATTTTAAATATGTTTCTTTCATTAAATCACAAAAATAATGAACATAAGTGGCTTCGAAAAATTCTTTGAAAGCATCAACGAGATTAACAGCTTCTACAAAAAATATGTTAGCGTTATGAGTTGCATTATGTTGTATAAACACGAGGAAAAAAAATGAGTAGCGTTATGAAAATAAACTAAAATGTTGCAAATTCTCTCCATGGTGTCGATCTCAATCGGCTCTGTAATATAGTTACAAGTTTGTGTCATAAAAACAGGGAAATAGTCAACCGGAGGGAAACACCGGTTAGAAATCCGACCTCCCGAGCGCGACACGACCCCAGACCTCAATCGTCTCATGCCATCCCTTTTCAGCCACTCCACACCTCCTACACAGAAGAAACAGATGGCTATTGGAGCACTGTAAGCCACAGAAGACGACGCTCCGGTCACTATCTCACGCAACGAATCCCGTCCTCCCACCACTTCACAGATAAAACTCGGTTAGTTGATAATCCTAATCCCTTCAATATACTTGAATCTGAAGATGACTCTGACTTTTATCACACACAAGAGCTTTATAAAGAACATACGCACCCCTACAATCGATTCCAGAATCCATACAGCCACAGAGACGTTCCCACAAACTCTCGTTCCGGGATCTGCCGCAGGCCTGAGAATCGGATTCGGTTTCACCCTGATGTGGCGCTTGAAAAAGCAAAGAAAACCAAGGCAATCAAGGACACAGAGAAGTCTGGTTCTGCCTTGCCGATTTTCTCACCTGTGCCGGAAATATTGGCCAGTAGCGGAGAAGCTGATTTGACTCCTTCGGTAGGGACATTTACGAAGGAAGCCAGTGTTGGACGTCAACCTGTAAGTCAGACCCAGACTAATGCTTCCAAATTGCTCACATGGGCTGACAAGGCATCCACCGCTGAGAGAGATGCAGAAAACCTACCTGACCTGGGAAGCCCACCTGGCAACCCCAATCCCACATGGGCTGATCTACTTCGGGGTGACAAAAATAAAACCCCCCAGGCCCACGCTGCACCCTTCATCTCAGCCGCAAGAGCCACTCCAATTGATAATAATATCACTTTGATTATTAATGATATTAACTCATGTAAAGATATTATATTGTCAGATTCGGCGACCGTTTCTCAGGGCTCTGAAAAGTTCTACTTCTTTGGAGAAGAAGGCTTTGACACTATCAAATTGGAATCCAAACTCTTTAAGTTTGGAATCAGAAACAATGAAATCTCAATTTTTGAGATCAAGAAGTCTCAAATGCATAGGATCAACTTCAATCTTGAATTGGCTACCCAAATCATCAGCTATATTTATGAGCTCACCGGAACTGACTTTTTCTATCGTCAACTAAGGAGATTTGGGCCTATCTCCGTCTCTTCAAATTTTAATAAAGCTGGCGGGTTCATAAAAATTGCCAAAGGAAAAGGAAATTTCATATTGATTCCAATAGGCCAACAAAAAACAAGTCTGCTCAAATTTTTGGCAATCTTCTCTAATTCCGTGGGAATTTCTAATTTAGTACAGGAGGAACCTATGCACCAGCTACAAAAAACCACGTTCGTAACAGAGGAGCCAACATCAATATCCAAGCTTATTTTTGATTCCCAAATTCAGAGAGCCTACTCAGAGAAAGAATGGTCCTTAACTGAT